GAGAAGTCTGTTTTGCTTGTGATAAGCTACCCAAATGGCACCATCAAAACTTCTAGTTTCACATTTAAAAAATCCTGCCCCCGCCTTCATACTATTTACCTGTTTTGTGAAGCACATGCAGGAAGGATTGAATTACAATCAGCAGTGGTTTACATGTCAACATTAGGTTATTGCAGAACAACAAAGAAGCCCCCTGCTGTGAAGAAGCATTTTGAGTAACAGAATTACATATCATGACAAATACATTAGTATGTACCACCGGTTGTTGTGGCACTAAAAACTGAGTTGATTGCTCACTATGACTCTGAACTGATAGTAAAACACATACTTTTGTATTTGTATTGTGTATTTACCATGGGGTTCATGCCCTTCCCTTCTCATGTTCGCCTGTTTGTACCTCTCGTCTGTGTTCTTGTTACACGGTGCAAAAGAAAAAATCTATCCATTCTAACCAAAACAATACATATGTATAAATATTTACAACTTTACTACAAGTGTTATGTCAGTTACAGGATATTATAAATCTAAAACTTCAAAGCAATGTTAATTACATTTTCATTAGCTTCAGAGTTTTCTACAGCAACTGGCTAGGAGGTGTATCAAGTCATCTGGAAAGGGACATCATGAAAGTGATGGCAATTTTAGTGAAGTTATATGTTATGGGCACTTATCTGACCAAATACCAGTCTAAAGTGAAAAGGGCAAATGCTTGAGTGACAAAAACAATGCAAAGCAGGAGAGCAAGAGTCAGAGAGACCAAACTGACATAGGTTTATATGGGGACAAGCAGCTGTACTGTCCAACAAAATACTAATGAAGACACTAATTTTAAATTTAAAGTTTGGTGATGTTGACACTGACTTGCATTAAAATAGCTTTAAAAGCGGCTTGCTAGTTAAACATTTCTATTGGGGCATACCTGTAGAGATGTGCCTTCCAGAGCGGTTTTAAATATCGGGGTGGAAAATAAAAACACGTATTAAGAATATTTAACATAATAATTTAATAGAAATACGGTAGCTTTGCTTAGCCTACATGCAATTAATCAATCGCCTGACTCTCTCCATCCCTGCAGAATGTACAGGCTAGTATACCACCATATAGTTGATCATGTGTTATACGCTAATTCCAACGTTTCTTTTCTTGATTCCCATGTGGAGAGACAAACTTTTTAAATGACGTGTACATTTTGACTGGTTTTCCACAAAGGTAGCAGTAGGTTATATTACTTACTAAAGGGGATGTCTTTAAAGACTGTATGTACTGATCGTCACCAGTTTCAGCACTATCCTTAACAGACGTGTCTTCAGTATTTCCATTAAGAGCTTTAGCCCAAACTCCTGGTACTTGTACTTGCTTCATTTCCCTACAAGTGTTTTCACTGTGTTGTGTTGACTGCAGTCTTAGGGTTGGACATTTTATATTAAGTTCTTCTGGGGTTGCAAATATTTTGAACGTCCTGCTGTGCTTTCCCATGAACTAGTCTGATTGACTGTAAGAATCAGGTACATATTCCTCCTCTGATAAATTCTATTCACTTGGACTTGGTTCTTAAAAAAAGCTTTAAAAGGTCTTAGTGAGAACATAACTTTGAGAATAATTCCGCAATGACACTTACGAGCCTACCTAACTATTAACATGTTTAAGCTTAAATATAGATTTTTGCTGTTGAAAGTAAATAACAAAACTCATTGTATCACGCATAATCTATACTGATAATCATTTAGATGCTTAATTTGGTTGTTTCTTTTGAAGCATGTGCAATTCATCGGTTGGGTTGATTTTTTCACTTCACTTTAATTGAGGTGCAAATTGATGTTTGTATGTCTCTTTGTTATTTATCAAGAAAATTAGTACTAAAACTTTGCAAAGAGGTACAAACATAAGATTCTAAAATGGGAGACTGTATAGTTTTTACATAGAAGCCAATTTGACTTTTTATATGATGTATGTGTTTAAAGTAATTCAGATTGTTTGTGAAGAAAATGGTTGCTGCAAACTTGTTGGATTGCAACCTGCAAGACTTAAGATAGTTGAATAGACTCCTGAAAGTGTTAAATATTTGTCTAGATACCGTTTGGTCCACACTGTCTTTGGTGTGCATTTTGGTGCCATCCATGTTGAGTTCAATGTTCATGTGCACTAGAGTAGCTCTAAGTTCTTCACCAAATTAGAAGTGTAATTTGCTAATGAAAATGTAATTTCATAATCAATACTGTTGTCAGCACAACGGTCAACTTGAGGAGGGCTCCTCAGCAGTACCAGCCTTGGAAAATGTGCCAGATGAAGTGAACCCTTTTCCCCTCTTATGTGGCGTGGTGTGAGATGTAAAGGTGAGGTGAGTATTTAATAAATAAATGTTGCATTCATGAATGCTTAACTTTAAACATAATAAGTAATAGTCTTTTATCTTCTGTTAGAATGCTATTTCAGTGAAGGTGGTAGTTAAGTGTTTTAATTTGGTTCACCAATTACAGTCTATTGGAACTTGATACGTGCAAAGCAGCAAATATTATATTTACAGAGGTAAAAACTTCCTTGTGTTAATTAATTGTGATTCTTCATATGCATCACTTTACAAATTTCTACAATAATCCTCAACGGTGGGTTCACACCTAAAGGTCCGGTTCCTGAATCAAACCACTAAAAGAGAAATGAAAACAATTGAATGCACTGCAACAGTCTAGATTATAAATATCGAACATAAAACTTACACCAAAAGAAATTAAAAGATAAAAAATAAAAAAAACAACTAAAAATATTCTTGATGAAAAGCCTAGCACCTTTGATATATTGAACTCAACATGGATGGCACCAAAATGCACACCAAAGACAGTGTGGACCAAACGGTATCTAGACAAATATTTAACACTTTCAGGAGTCTATTCAACTATCTTAAGTCTTGCAGGTTGCAATCCAACAAGTTTGCAGCAACCATTTTCTTCACAAACAATCTGAATTACTTTAAACACATACATCATATAAAAAGTCAAATTGGCTTCTATGTAAAAACTATACAGTCTCCCATTTTAGAATCTTATGTTTGTACCTCTTTGCAAAGTTTTAGTACTAATTTTCTTGATAAATAACAAAGAGACATACAAACATCAATTTGCACCTCAATTAAAGTGAAGTGAAAAAATCAACCCAACCGATGAATTGCACATGCTTCAAAAGAAACAACCAAATTAAGCATCTAAATGATTATCAGTATAGATTATGCGTGATACAATGAGTTTTGTTATTTACTTTCAACAGCAAAAATCTATATTTAAGCTTAAACATGTTAATAGTTAGGTAGGCTCGTAAGTGTCATTGCGGAATTATTCTCAAAGTTATGTTCTCACTAAGACCTTTTAAAGCTTTTTTTAAGAACCAAGTCCAAGTGAATAGAATTTATCAGAGGAGGAATATGTACCTGATTCTTACAGTCAATCAGACTAGTTCATGGGAAAGCACAGCAGGACGTTCAAAATATTTGCAACCCCAGAAGAACTTAATATAAAATGTCCAACCCTAAGACTGCAGTCAACACAACACAGTGAAAACACTTGTAGGGAAATGAAGCAAGTACAAGTACCAGGAGTTTGGGCTAAAGCTCTTAATGGAAATACTGAAGACACGTCTGTTAAGGATAGTGCTGAAACTGGTGACGATCAGTACATACAGTCTTTAAAGACATCCCCTTTAGTAAGTAATATAACCTACTGCTACCTTTGTGGAAAACCAGTCAAAATGTACACGTCATTTAAAAAGTTTTGTCTCTCCACATGGGAATCAAGAAAAGAAACGTTGGAATTAGCGTATAACACATGATCAACTATATGGTGGTATACTAGCCTGTACATTCTGCAGGGATGGAGAGAGTCAGGCGATTGATTAATTGCATGTAGGCTAAGCAAAGCTACCGTATTTCTATTAAATTATTATGTTAAATATATTCTTAATACGTGTTTTTATTTTCCACCCCGATATATTAAAACCGCTCTGGAAGGCACATCTCTACAGGTATGCCCCAATAGAAATGTTTAACTAGCAAGCCGCTTTTAAAGCTATTTTAATGCAAGTCAGTGTCAACATCACCAAACTTTAAATTTAAAATTAGTGTCTTCATTAGTATTTTGTTGGACAGTACAGCTGCTTGTCCCCATATAAACCTATGTCAGTTTGGTCTCTCTGACTCTTGCTCTCCTGCTTTGCATTGTTTTTGTCACTCAAGCATTTGCCCTTTTCACTTTAGACTGGTATTTGGTCAGATAAGTGCCCATAACATATAACTTCACTAAAAATTGCCATCACTTTCATGATGTCCCTTTCCAGATGACTTGATACACCTCCTAGCCAGTTGCTGTAGAAAACTCTGAAGCTAATGAAAATGTAATTAACATTGCTTTGAAGTTTTAGATTTATAATATCCTGTAACTGACATAACACTTGTAGTAAAGTTGTAAATATTTATACATATGTATTGTTTTGGTTAGAATGGATAAGATTTTTTCTTTTGCACCGTGTAACAAGAACACAGACGAGAGGTACAAACAGGCGAACATGAGAAGGGAAGGGCATGAACCCCATGGTAAATACACAATACAAATACAAAAGTATGTGTTTTACTATCAGTTCAGAGTCATAGTGAGCAATCAACTCAGTTTTTAGTGCCACAACAACCGGTGGTACATACTAATGTATTTGTCATGATATGTAATTCTGTTACTCAAAATGCTTCTTCACAGCAGGGGGCTTCTTTGTTGTTCTGCAATAACCTAATGTTGACATGTAAAACCACTGCTGATTGTAATTCAATCCTTCCTGCATGTGCTTCACAAAACAGGTAAATAGTATGAAGGCGGGGGCAGGATTTTTTAAATGTGAAACTAGAAGTTTTGATGGTGCCATTTGGGTTAGCTTATCACAAGCAAAAACAGACTTCTCCCCAAAACTAGATTTTCACATGCTCTTTTCAGTGATGTAGAAACATTGGGGGGTGAAATTAATGTTTTCACGTCTCACAAAGCTTGACAAAAGCAGCTCAGAAAGCAGCTCGGAAAATGAGGACTAATGTTACATGTCCTGTACTAACTCTTAGTAGCAAGGGTAAAATTTGCAACATGTTAACTTACACATAGAAGATTGATCCTGATGAGTTTTGCGGTATTAGTTTTACACATTTTAAATATGGGGAAGAGAGAGAGAGCATTGACATTTGATCACTACATGGTAGGGATCACTAAATTGCTTTGCAGTTGTAGATTTACTACATAACAAATGTAATGAAAATTATGAGTTAACCCTAGAGTTTGGGTTATCGATGGCAATCTGTTTTCCTCTTTTGTAGTGTCTCTGAAAAATGCTATGGAAGGGGACACTAGAAAAAAAAATAGAAACAGCATGGTCTCAAAAAAGAGGTCGCAGCAGTGATGAGACTTTTTACTAAAACCTTATTGTCAAGGGCAAACTAGCCACTATGGCTGAATGCAAGACCTGCAATGAAACAGTGTAAGACTGCTGAACATCCTGTTCTGGCTAGTCAAGAACCCCGTGGTAAATCTGGGCATTACATAAAAATAAAAAGCCATATGATAGATATTGTTACAGACTTTTGTTGTTGAAGCTGCTGGTTCCTGTTGAGCTTTGGAACGTGCAATAAGTGTTATTAGCACAGATCACGGTTGAGCCGAAATAAAGAAGCTTATTTTTATTCTTTTACCTGTAGGAGATTTATTATAACCTTCTGTTTTATTTTCATCAACAGAAAACTACTGTCCTGTTATGTCAACAAAGTAGCTAACTAGCATTTGAATACTTCATCCCCAAGGGAAGGGTTCTGGATTTCATGACCTCTGTAATAGTCTAACCCTAATTAGCAAAAGGCAGCTGGATCAAACTTTAGCTCTTGAAGTTTCCAGTTGATGAAGTTGTAAACTATATTTTTTTATAATTCTAGCTTTTTTTACTAAAGGGAAAGAGAAGGCCTATTAGCATGACTAGTGACTTAGTTATGAGTAAGGCTTTAGTTTAGAATGAGGGACATAGTCTATATGTTACTGAAAGACTACATTTAGAGTTATTTGGACGCTGTTAACACTTGTAGTTTTTTTTTTTGCTACATAAGAATTGTCCTTATTTTGTAAGTGTAACTAAAAATTAAATATTTAGTTTAGATTACAATATTCTCTTAATAGAAATACCCCATTCTTTTATTCATCCATGCTGGAGTGTCACTCCATGCTAGCTAGGAAGGAACTAAGAGGGAACTCCGTGTCATTACATGCCAGCCAACAATGGACGTTTCTGTAATGCAGTCAATAAATAAAATGCAATCCTATAAAATTTAGATTGAAGAAACAAGTACATTGCAAAATTGATAGAAATCTTGTCTATAACTGGTCAATTTCATTTCACAATATTTGGGGACAGAATTATACCAAAGGTTTAGTAAAAGTTGATAAACCTGTTTTAGTGATTACTTAAAAAATAGGATCATGCTGCTGAGCATTTTAGTCCTAATTTATAATTATGAAGAGCAAATACAAAATAAGATAAAGATGAAGGCCCTTTAAAAAGGCCTACTTCACCAAATGACCAAGCACCACAGACAAACCTGAAGAGAAAGTTTAAATGACTGCACTAGTGTAATAAGACATTTTATATAATTGAACCCTGGATAAAGTACCTTTTGCTGCTAATACTGCAATCCTTGATATTTGTGCATGCATCCAAGTTATTTCTGAATAACAGGTAAAACTGTAAATTCTCAATAAAGTGGCCCTGAATATTTTTGGATCACAGAGAAATGTTTAAATATTACTAACACTGATGTTAAAATTTCCATTTTTGAAAGAAACAAGAAGTCTTTAAGAGATACAAACACTCATTAGCTGAAAAAAATTAACCGCATGGAGGTCCCCTCTTTGGTAGGTAGATACTGCTCAAGGATCCAAGTGCCCTCTTGGCAATTTCTTGAAGACAATGTTCTGGTTTTATTTTCACAGACTCCCATCATTGGCCTATGGTAACCCCTCCTAGTCTCTTATCATTGGCTCACGGCTAACTCTGCCCACCCTCTTATTTTGTATGTGACAGCATGTGGGAAATAACTGGTGAGGGGCTGGGGGCCGTTACTTCTGGTACAACCAGATTATTAGATAGTCTGCAGTTCCAAACTCTTGTCTCCGGCTGATAAAAATAGGTTCCTGTTTCGAAAACGAACTCTGTCTGATAAACCCAGACCGTTTTTAACAACCGGAGTCTGGGGTTATAGATAACTCTATTCCATAACTGGTCTACAAGATTACCTGAAGATGCTAATGACAGTTAAAACACACAACTTGATGTGGCTCATTGAGAAAACAGAGGGAGGGGAGGGATGGAAGGAGGTCCGGGGGTGGAGCACATTCCTCAATTCACCCCACAGCCTATGCTACACCAGAAAGAGAGAGGACAGAGAAGAGGAGACACAGACTCTAGAAGGATTAAAGTTTTAAGACTCACAAGTTTAAGACTAGGCTACAGCTTTTGAGTGATAATGATGGCAAGTTTGTAAGACAAAGCACTAGCAAAGATTTTACAAAGTTTAATTTTGGAACTCTCTTATATTAACTCTTATTTTGCTGCATGCTGTTGAAGGTAATTTAAATGGAAACTCTAGGCTACAGCTTTGGAGTGATAATGATGGCAAGTTTGTAAGACAAAGCAATAGCAAAGTAATTTGGAACACTCTCTTATTTTGCTGCATGCTGTTGAAGGTAATTTGTAATGCTGTTTAATTTTTACTCACCGTTATACCATTTTACTGCTTTACTGTCATTATTTCAATTTATTCTTCACTTGTTTACTGATGGTAAGTTTG